GTTACAATTAGACCTGCCACCCAAAGAGAAAATACTCTCATCTTCTTTTGGGACGTGTCAAAATATTTTTTTTCTAAGAGCACACATGTAAAAAACACCAAGAATATAAAATCCACTCATTTGGAGTAATGCACATACCTTTAGAGACTATGAGAATATCATCATCATCATCATCAACCAATGTAGCCACCATACTACCAAACTTATCCCTATTCTTTTTTCGTATAGGACAACATTCATGCAACCAAACTCCTTGCATCCATAACAATGTACCTTGCCCTTTTCCCTAACCATATATCTAAACCTACCAATCTTAGATCCCTACTAGATGACCTTCCTTTCAAATTTGTTCTTCACATAACCACAAAACCTTACTTGCTCTCATACATGGGCTTCCTCCTAACCTCATTAGATTAGTGTTTTAAAAACCGGTCTAGAGGCTAAACCATTTTTGCCTCTAGGTCACAGGTCACTGGTGAGACTACCCAGGTCAAACTAGGGTTGTCAATGGGTCAGGTAAGACCTGACGGACCCAATGGACCCAAACCAATTGGGTCAGTTCTGGTTCTAGGATCTGGAACCAATGGGTCAGTTCCAGTTTATGATCTCTTATCCTGATTATATATATATATATATATATATATATGTATATATATATATATAGGTTTATTATAATTGGGTAATTGGGTCCGTCAGGTCAGAACCAATTGTCACAAGACCCGATCAGTTTGGTTCTTAGTCTAAAATTATAGACCCTATAGGGTCTGGTTCGATTCTGGTTCCTTAATATTTCTTGTCAAGTCAGTTCTGGTTCTACCCAGACCCGACCCATTGACAGCCCTAGGTCGAACATGTCAACCCATGACACATTAGAGTGTGTGTATGCGTGTGTTATGTATGTATGGCACGTCAAAGTATGTGCTTATGAATTTATGTATGTAAATGCACATATATGCAGCATCAATAAAATAATGTATAGTTATATTCTACAAGTAACATATGTATATATAAGTATTATTTTATGTTTAATCTACATTTTTCATTTCAGTTTTAAAATTTTATTTAAAAATGCTAAAAATTGGGATTTGAGGCCTTTTTTTTTGCAAAAATAGCAGGGCAAGGCACCCTTCAGCCCTTGGGACACAGATCTCAAAAAATTACCCCAAAACGATACAAAGATCACCCTAATTGGACAACTGAGCACAAAGTTATGGCCTCCAAAAGCTTTAGTGTATAAATCGTGACGTAGTGACCAAGTAGAAGGGGTCAACCGCCCATATTGGACAGTTTTTGACCAAGTCAACGATTTTTTGTCAAAAGTCAAGTTTTAAGAAAACCAAACCTAGAAACATGGCTAGTAACGTTTCAAATGATTCAGCCATCAAGGTCAATGATGAGTTGAAAATATTGCATTAGATAGGAGAGATGCGGTGACTTCCTCCAACTTCACTATATCTTTTCCATATAACATGTTGTCACCAAGTTTTCATACAAATCAAAAAGTGAAGTAAGAAGCCAAAGGGCCTTGTCTTCTTCCTCCACTTTAACATCAAGAATTCCTCCATAACATTTTTTTTTTGATAATTAGAATTCCTTCATAACATTATCATCTAGAAGCAACTGAATCATACTAACACACCTCAACTTAAAGTCCTCCCGATTAGCATCCTTCATGTCTTTCGACTTCTCATTCTTTCCCTTCAACGCATAATCAAGCCTTTTTGAACCATGATGTCTTTCACCCTCCTTTTCCATAGGGTAAAAATTTGTCTTTACCACCACAACCTCTCAATCTAGAATTGAGAGATCATACCTTTTCTTTCTATTTCTCTTAATGATTTCACAAGAGCTTTGTATACATTGACCTGGAAGTTCTAATACTACTTTGTTAGGCTCACAAACAACCACAAATAGAATAAAATCACAGAGTGTTTGATAGAGGTGAGCAAGAAAAACTAAAAAACCAAAAAACAAAAAACTGAACCAAATTGACGAAACCGAACTGAAAATTCCAGTTAACTGAACCAGTTAGTTCGGTTTCGGTTCAATATTTTTTAAAAAATGAAGGTATCGGTCCGGTTTCGGTTAACCAATATAGAAAACCAACGGTTAACTGAACTGACCGGTATACATATATTTCTATGTATTTTATGTATATTTATGTATATTATATATTTTTATATATATTTTATATTTTATATATATTATAAATTAATAAATATGTATTATATATAAATATATATTCATAACATATAATATATTATTTATTATTTAAAATATAATATTTTATATATGTTTCTAGTTTTTTATTATTTTTTATTACATATTTATATATTTTTATAATATATACTATAAATATAAAAAACCAAAAAAACAACAAACTGAACCAATGGTTAACCGATTAACTGATTAGCTTCAATTCGGTTTTGATTACCAGATTTCTAGAAACCGGTAATATCGGTTCAGTTAATCGAACCATGAGCACCCTTAGTGTTTGAAACAATGGAGCAACCAAGAGAATTTAGTAGCAACAAAAAATAAAGAAGTCCAAACAAAGACAAAAAAAAAAAAACTACCACCACAAATACAAAAGATTTACGTTGGTTCACCTTTACCGCCTACGCCCATGGGAGAGATGAAGCCATTCTTCACTATAGAAAAATGAGAAACAATACACAATACCTTGTAGTTTGCAACCCAAACCAACCCTTAAGCCTTGTACACCCGTTCTCCCTTTCCTCTCTCGAACACAAAGAACTCATACAAGAGAGAAGGGAGAAAAAAGGGGGAGGGAACTCTTACACAAAGAGCACCCTTTTTCTCTCAACATCTCTGCCTCTCTAGAAGAGAAACTCCTCTTTTCTCTCAAAGAGGCACCCACTCTTTCTCTAACCTAAAGAGTTAACCCTACATACAAAAGAAACCTGTTATATGCAAAACCCACCTTAACCTAAAGGGGAGACCACACCCACCATTAGATTACAATCCAATCCAATGGTTGAAAAATAAGACAAACCTAGCAAATAAACCATCCAAGAATAAATTACCAAAAAAAGCAATATAGATCCTCTACCAAATATTCCCTAAGCTCTATCTCCTTTCTCCTATCACTTCCAATACCAATACCTTCACCAATTAACTCAAAGACCCTCTACCTATTCCCTTTTCCTTCCAATTCCATAAATACATGTTTTTCACCATCTAAAAAGAACAATCCCAATTTTTTAACAACCTCCAACTTCTTTTTGAACTAACATATTTATATTGACCTTTTTATTTATTGAAAAAAAAAGCTTAATCCATAAGGATGTCAGCTTTCCCTTCTTGATTTAATAAAGTTTCTTCCTCCATCTCATGTACCATTACCTCCGCATCAGATACCTCTTCAAAATGCTCATAAATCAGATGAGTTCTAAATCCAGTTACCATCATCCACGTCAGACTCCTTAGTACAAGTCTGATGAATTCTATACCTCAATCCGGCATGCTTATCGCAATAACAGTGAATAGTTACCCCCACAAAAAATGAAGGAAAAGAATGAACAAATGGGTATGGCTATTACTTTTGCCTTCTCTCTGAACATTTATTTCAAATTCAACTAGAGAATTATACCTAGATATTTTAGACCATAACAACACCAGAGCAATATGATTATCAAAATAAATCGGTAAATGAAAAATACATTTAGTCCTCGTAGCTTTTCAGTGAGCTTAACCATTTCCTGATTCTGTCATGTGTTTAACATGGCAATTTATTCAAAATGGATTGTTTGTTGTACAGAACAGGCAAAATCCATTACCAATATGCCCTCCAAGTGAATGGGGAAAAAAAGAACGAAACAGAAAAACATCTATAACTTATTTTATTCTCAAAACCAGTGTTTTACATGCTAAAGGGGAGAAAAAGCAGGCATTCAAGATCAATGTTAACAATTAGGGTAAATTGCTAATTAGTACCCTATACTTTGGGGCAAGTCTCACTTTAGTACCCTAACTTCAAAACGTGCCACTGCAGTATTTAAACTGCCATTTTAATACCGGTCGTTAACAGTTTGTCGGCTATATGTATCACATGACAACACGTGCAACTTAATTTTTTAAAAATGCCAAAACTACACTTCTTAATATTTTTGAGACCATTTTACCTTGATTATCTTCCCCAGCAATGGCAAGAATGACTCATCTTCTCTGACAACAATGGTAGTGTAAACCCCCCTTTGTTATGGATTGAATAACTGAAAAAAGAATTACAAGGACGGTGGCTTAAATCCCTCTTCTTTGGCATTAATATCGTCTTCTTTAGCAACGTTTTTCCATAAGCACTGGTTCTTCAGCAGAAAGGTTAGGGCATAAAGTGAACAATGGTGCCTAATCGCAACGAAAAGGGATTTAAACATGGCTATTTTGGCCATTTCCAAATTATGCTTCTCTCGCATATTCAAAACTCAGAGGGTATTTGTGTCCTTTCACATGTCATCTAACGTCGGTTAACGATTTTGGACTAAACTGGTAGTTTTCAAGAGTTCAAGCACTGCAGTGGCACGTTTTGAAGCTCGGGTACTAAAGTGAGACTAGCTCCAAAGTACAGGGTACTAATTTGCAATTTACCCTAGCATTTATAACATGTAGCAACATAATTTTCCCAGTTATAAAATGTCAGACATATAAAAGTCATTCATTATTCACAAAATGATATGCATTTACCAAAAGCATTCGTTCAGAGTGATATGTATCATGTAATTGAAAAAAGTAACAAAAATGATTTTTTAATCATTTTCTCCACATAATTTATCATTTTCAACACAATTTGTTTGATTTGATGAGTAGCAGGGTTTGCTAGTTCTTCACTTTGGACCATAATCATTCCTTCAAATTTTCATAATGTCCTTATGTCTATCTCAATGAAGTTCCACATCCAACATTTATTATTCCATGATTTTCTGAAAAAAAAAAGTGTAATATTGAACAGATTGGAGGCTAAATAATAGAGAAAGACTTACCCCACGTTGGATCCGGCTAAGAACCTTTGCTATGTCCAAACGACCATCTTGTGAGAACGCAGAATGCCACTTTCTTGCACTCAGAGTTTTACCAGACTACGGAAATAAATGGAAAGAAAAGAACCAACAATAAAAGCAAAAGCATAAACAAGTAGTGTCCATTTAAAAAGAAGCCTTAAATGCATTGCATACATCATAAAAATATAAACAGCGGATGTAATCAGAGATGGCATTCTCAAGATAACTGAGATAGTGAAGGAAGGATTATAAATCAAATTTTAGAAAGAAAATCAGCCCAATTCAGATGAGAACAATGGAAACCAAATATGTAAAAGTTCATAATAAAAAAAAAAAAAAAAAAAAATTGTCAACAAGCACAAAATTAAACACGCACCTTGGGCTTAAATCGGGTCTTTGGGACGTCTCCTTGACATTCGGGTCTAGTTGCGTAGAAAGCATCCAACTCCCCTGAAGCAGCGTTCTTCATATGAAATTCTGTCATTCCACAACACACATCACCACCCATTTTAATTTAACAAATAACTCATTTATATTCGGTTATCCATTCATTTACAGATCATTCGTGCCAAGAAACCAATTCCAAGCAACCTAAGTCGTCAATTTCCAATCTTTCACCGTAATGTAATTATCAACAAACCACACAGTCTAAGACTTCAATCTTCCATGGCCTAGTTGATTTCCGAAGCAACCCAAATCGTCAATTTTCAATATCTTCGACATTAGAAGAACCTACAATCTATTATTGTTTTAAAATCTGAAGTGACGGGACCTCTGAAACAAATAAACAAAATGCAGTTCGTCAGGCGAACCTTCTGATCAAATAAGGAAATTAACTGGGTTCCAGTTCATTCCGTGTGGGTCCTACAGCTACATGCTGGAACTACTTCGTCGCACCCGATATTTCTCTTGTCAAAACTAATAAATAAAATAAATAAGAGAGAGAGAGAGAGAGAAGCAAAAGACCAACGTGGTCTACCTCAAAAGAGCTCAACGATATATCTGGAGAAAGAAAAACTGTCATCAGATCGTGTGTAGGGTTTCCCCGCGGTTTGTATTTTGTTTTTTCCCCCTTGGCCGGCGAAGATTCCGATTAGCTACAGAGTCACAAAAGAACAAAGAATCCCTCCTCGGAAAGTATCAGCTGAGAGAGGAGGGAGAAGAAGAGCGAAGGAAATGAAAGAGAGGAACAAACGCAAGCGTTTATTTTGATTAAGAGGGAGAGATATCAGAGGATGAGTGTCTAATTAAGGTATTATTTAACGGTTTTCTGTTGAGGGGCAGAGGGTATAGTTGATGTGTCTTCTTTTTTTTTTTTTTTGATTCATCGATGTGTCTTCTTCATTTCTTCCCGTCTGTTTGATCTATTTCTAGCGAAAACCAAATTCACCCCCGGTTACGACTGAGGAGTTGGTGATTTGATTAAATTCTTTTTTTTTTTCTTTTTTTGGTAGGATAGTAATACAGATTTGATTAAAATTTTAAAATGGACTTTGCTCTGACTGAATCCGGTAAATGGAGCAGACTATGGGCCTACATGGGTTTTCTCTAATTGGTTCATTTTTTCACAGTCCGGAAAAATCCCAGAAGGCTGACTGGGTCATTGCCGCTTCAACCATATCTATACCCAATGTTTATATATCGATTATTTCATAAAACTTAAATTCAAATATCATATGTAATACCAGTGGGATCCGTACAATTCACACAAGAAAGTTAAACATTAAAAATAGATAGGAGTATATAATTAGTTTATATTTTAACGTTTTAATAACCAATTCAATTGAATTTGATCCGAGTTGATCGCTTTCTAATATTTTTATCAACTTTGTTTTAGCAATTTTTTAATTCAACCAAGTTAGGTTAATTTCGATTTGGTCATTTGTAAACTGATTAAAATTTAATTGATTCAACCTTAGATATATATTAATATTTTATATTTTAAATATAATTTTTTTAATACCAAAAAGTGAAAAGTTCTCATATTTCTTAATCTAAAATAATTTTATATCATAAATTTATTTTTTATAATATCACTATAATTTATTAAATTTAAATTTAATTTTTAAGTTTAAATCTTTTGAATAAACAAACCAAACCAAAAATAGACCCAAACTGATATAACCCGAGTTTGCGGGTTTTCACAAATGGTCAAATTGAATCAATCCTTGAACACTCCTAATTTCAATTAAATTAATAACCTAATCTCTAATAAATAACAATAGTTTAATCTTCTATAATTATTGAAAATTTATAGCAAAAATTCACAATTATTGAAAATAAATTTATAATGAAAATACAATAGATATCCAATAAAAATACAATAAATACTAAAAAAAATTTAAAATTAGTCAATAAATAGTGTAATCTCAAATAATAGTTTAATCTCTAACAAATATTAATCAATAAACTATAAAAAATATATAATTACTAAAAATAAATTTATAACAAAAATACAATAAATATGATAAATTAAATTTCAAAAGTTAAATAATAGTTGTTTAATCTCCAATAATTATTGACAATTTACTATAAAATTATTACTAATAAATATTTTTTGAAAGCTATTTTCTATAATTATTAATTGTTATAAGTGAACTTAGGTATTTATAATATTATTTAGTTATTTAAAGTGTTATTTAAATTTTTAAAATATAAATTATTTATTAAATTTAATAATCCATAAAATTATAATTAGTACTATTATTACATAATTCGTCATTAATTTTGTAAAATATTAAATTATTATTATTAAGAATATTATGAAACCTATTATGATTATTTTTCTACTTTTAAGATTTTTTTTAAATTTATTACATAATTTCATTATTTTAACTATTTAAAATTTAGTCATGTTAAATATTTTGTTATTTATATATTTAAATAATATTTAAAATGTTTAAAATCTTCATTATTTGAAGATTAGTTACATAATTAGTAAAATTATAGTTTATGTTGTTACTATATAATTTCATGATGAATTTTGTAAAAATATAGAATTATTCTAATGTGAGTATTATTAAATCTATTATAATTAATTTTTGTGTTTTGAATAAATATTTTAAAGTTAGTATATAATTCCGTTATAATATTAAAATAATTCTGAAATTTTTTAATTGAAACTTTCTTTAGATAGATGTAGATAAAAAGTGGGGGAGAGGATAAATAAAAATTAGAGATAGTTTAGGAGGGAATCTCTCTACTAAATTAGAGATAATAAGAGATAAATATGAGTTAAAGATAATTTAGGAGATAAATAGGAATTGGAGACTATTTAGGAGACAGAGGAGGAAAGTGGTGCCACTTGTTAGTAAAGCAAATCCCTCCTTTATGGTTGTTAGAAATAGTTAAGCACATGTTATTTCCTTATTGGTTTAATGGGTAATTACGTGGAATTAAAAAAAATAAAAAATTCAAAAAAAAAGAAATTAGAAAGGGAGTTTAGAGCAAGGAGAAGCATGGTGACATGGACTGTCTTGCTATATATATAGATAGATTACTAATATTCAATTACATATATGCATGGTCATGCTCTTATAAAAGACGCGAGATACCTAAGAATTTTGATCGATCAAAACCCTCTATCAATTTTAATAAATACCACCTAATTGGTTGCCACTTTTATAATATTCTATCCATTTGGGTATCATATATATTTTGGGTAATATAGTTAAATCTAATTTTTCCAACACAAGGACGAGAATCGAATGATTTATTTGAACCATGCCTTAGGGCCACAAATTGGGTGGGCTTAGATTGGGATTTTTTTTTTTAATTTGAATGGGCCCTACCTGAAGGTCTATGCCTGATGTCATGTATATTTTTTGATACCCAACTTGCACCCCTAGTTAAGACATTGGTCGGCCCAATGTTTTAAAAAACGATTGGAATCGGAATTGCTTTGGTCATTGATTTTCAGGTCAATGGTTCGACTGTTTGGTTTGAATAAACAATTCATTCCAATTTAAAAACAAAAATATAAAAATAATTAAAACAAAAATGACCAAAGCTGTGGTCTAGGTTGAACGAGTTGACAGTCCAACCACCTGGATTGATCAGTGGGTTATTGACCCAATCAATGGTTTTTGGCCAAGGAACAAGCTAATGGTGAAATGGAACTAGTTGCCTAGACAATTTTCGGGCTGAACAATCCAACCATCCAGGTAAATGATGGTTTGAAAACCATGGGTAGGACCCTTATTATTGGATTCCGGAAAAAAACGGCATGGAAAATGATATGTTGAGAAATAGAACTTTCTGTTTTCTCTCTTATTTTCTGTCAAACCAAACAAACTTTCTTATATTAAACACCACCCAAAGGTTAAGGGTATTTGACTCCTATATGCCTCCAACTACATGCATTTTTAGTATTTAGACCTGGCAATTGGGTTGGTGGGTCAAGTTTAGGTTGGGTCAAGACACTTTGGGTTGATTTCGAGGTCGGGTTGAATTTTGGGTTGGATTGGCAAAATGCTATACCATAACCCTAACTGTTCGGGTTAGGGTGGGCCTACGAGTCAATTCAAGTTATCCCTAAAAATAACTTGAATTAAAAAAAAATGAAAAATACATGAAAACACCAAAATTGAAGGAATTAAATTTAAAATTCTAGACATGAAATAAAAAATGCAAACATTCAACAATTCAAAGAGTAAACAATCTATACTACTAAAAAAAGTACAAATAGGATATAAGATTTCTAGAATTATTCTGGACTAAAATACCTCGGTTTTTGAGATATGATCTCTCTTTATTGTGGGAGTAAAAATGTAATTTGGGTACTATTATTTAGTGCATTCAATTCCCTCCCATTAAATCCCACATCTAAGTTATTAACTCCCATTCACCTTCATTGAATCATATATTTAAGGCATTTTTGTTTCTTTTCATCACTAAATTCCACTAATTAAATCTATACATAATAATTGCAAAACCATAAAAACTTATAGTTTCAAAATCAACCTAGAAAAAATAGTATTTTTATCTAGGTGGTGGTGAGAAATGAAACCATAAAATTAAAAAATAGATAAAATGGGACAACCTATGTGGCCACAATTAAATGATAAAAATTAAAAAATAGATCAAATGAAAAAATATAAAAATTAAAGAAAATTTTGGGAATATCTTTAACATCATATATTCGTCTTATTAACAAGAATATGTATGATAAATAAGAAATATTTTTTATTAATGATGGAAATAGAATATAAAATTTAAAACGAATTGAAAATAAAACCATTTTCCTATTCTCTTTCATTAAATCTCACATCCAAGGTATATTCTCTCATTAAATCCTTTATTTGAGATATATTTTTCTTATCATTAAATTCTATTCATTAAATCCACAACATTATTTTCAATAGTATAAAAATAAATATTTTGAAAGTAATTTGAAAATAAAACCATTTTCTTCTCTCCTGATGGTGGGTAAGCAATTCAACCATCTGGGTCAAATAAATTAACCAATAATTTTATAATTAAATAATAAAAATTAAAAGTAAATAAAATATAAAAATAGAGAAAATAAAAAATGGTATATCTCTAATATTATATATTCACTATACTAAACAACAATAGGTATGATATGGATTAACTATTATTACTAATGATGGAAATAGAATGCAAAAACTAGAAAAGAAATGATGTCACAGTCAACTAATAAAATTTTTAAAAATAGAAAATGCAAAGAGTCACAAAAATAAAATAAAAAAATTAGAAAAAATTTTGGACACATATCTGATGGTATATATTTATAAAAAATAAAATATTTGGTACATCTCTAATATTATACATTCATAATATTGAACAAAAATAAGCATTATACATAAAAATTAATTTTATCAATGATAAAAATGTGATACAAGAATTAAAGTCAACCTAGAAATCAAACCATTTACCTTTTTGGGTGGTGGTTAGTGATTTTAGTCAAATGAATTAACCAATGATGTGATAGTTAAGTAATATTTTTTTAAAAAATAAAAAGTATATAAAGAACCACAAGAAAATAAAAAATATAGAAAATTTGGGCACATATCTAATATTATATATTAATTATATAAAACAAAAACTAAGTGTTATAAGCAAAAATTATTTATATAATGTAAACAAAATATATAATTTAAAACTGATCTTAATGAAAAGCTATTTTCCTATCTAGATGGTGGGTGAGTGATCTAGCTTTTCAAATCAACTCATGATGTCATAATTGAATAATAAATATTTAAACAGATAGAGCACAAAAAATGAAAAAGTACTAAATTTTGTTGAAAACATTTGGGAGCATCTATAATGTTATATGTTCATTATATTAAATAGAAATAATTGTTAAAATAAAAAATGTTTTCATTAATGATGATAATGGAATACAAAATTTAACAAAATGTTAATAATAATAATAATAATTATTATTATTATTATTATTATTATTATTATTATTATTATTGTAATTTAAAATTTCCACATGCATACACATTTACTAGTAAATAGTAAAAACTAAATTGTAAAGAATAAAGAGTGGAAACTCCTAACATTACATAAATAGTCCCAATTAGACATGACAATCGGGTCAACAAGTTGATCCATGACCCAACCCAATCCAGCTTTTTCCCTGGTTGGGTTGGGTCATTCCTAAATTCATGTAGATAAATATGAGACCCTAACCCAGTTTTTCAAGTTGGATTGAGTCAGGTTTGAGGGCTGGGTCAACTTTTTTCTAGGTCTATTTAGTATTAATTTTAGGGTTTATGTTTAGAGGTCGGGGGATTAGGGTTCAAAATTCAAGGTTTAGATTGAGAAATCAAAAGGTGGTTGAACGCTTTTGTCTGACCATCATAGGAACCAAGTAAAGCCCTAAAAAGGTTGCCTTTAGTTACATTTAAATAAAGGAAAACAAGAAGGCTTTCATGAGGAAAATGTCATTTTATGGTGTTTGGTAAGGGATGGCAATTTCTACCCTACTCGGTGGGTGCCCGCCCCTACCCTCCCCATTGGAGTGGGTTTTCTTGCTTGAAGAACGGGTTTTGGGGTGGAGACAGGTTTTGGGATTCTACAAACCGTACGGGTACGGGTAGGGTACGACATTAGGCTAAATCCGACCCTCCCTAACCCGCATATTGTTGGAAAGCATATAAACTTTATGTACTAGGCCTTGAATTTAATAATATGTTGAATTTTATGTTAAGAATAATTGATAGTTTATGTGTTTTATACATCTCTTAATTAAATAATTGTAATTTTTGTTGTTTATTTGTGTATTTTACTTATTTATTGCTTATATATAACAAGAAATAATAAGAAATTAGATGTGGGTTCTAAACCCAACCTACCTCTACCCTTGAATGCGGGAGGGTAGGTTGGGGAGGGTTTTGTATTTTCATGTACAGAAAGGGTTTGGATTGTCAAAACCCAACCTGCTACAAATTTTGGATGGATACAGGTTGGGGGGTATAAGGATACAGATAGAGTCTAGAACTTACAAAACCCTCCCTAAACATGCCCTATCGCCATTTGGTTGCAATTAAAACGACTAGAAAATGAATGCTTTCTTAGAACATTTGTTCATTGATGTGGTGAGACAAGAAACCAATTTATTGTAGCCACTTTCCAAGATTACCTTTTGCAGTCCCATCTGTCATACCAAAAGTTACAGCTTCAGCTTGTGCGATACAAGTTCTTCCCTCATTGCCATGCTAAAGGCTGTTTGTCCATTTCCCTACTCATGTTCTGGTGGCTCCCAAAAAGCATTTAAGCTGTTTGAATTACTACTCAAAATGTTATTCCTCTCCCAAGCACAAAAGGGTTTGACAGTGGCTGGAATGGACGAACTGAAATGACTTTTTCCTGCCCAATTGAACTCATTTCGGATTCCCTAACTTTTGGGAGGACAGGACCCAGTTACTGAGCCATCTGCAGGCTGGACCAAGCGAGTTAGGGGCTGTTTGATGGTAATTGGAATGGCTGAACTGAATGGCTTGTTGCTTTGTCTTTTAGTGAATAAGTTGTTAAGAAGGCTGTGAATTCCTTAACAGCTGGAGCCAAAATTAGGGCTGCAATTTGGGTAGACTTGGGTTAAACATTTGTTAAAATTTCAATGGGCTTGGCCCGATGGCTCGATCCACTTCTATGGAAATTCGTCAAGTACTTGACTTGCAGTTCTAGCTGAAGTTGGGTGGATTACTATATCCCTTGAATATTTTATTTTATTATTGAATCATTCCATCCATTAAAACTAAGTAATATTGTAATAAGCCATTCAGCTCAGCCACTGCAGCCGTTGTCCAACAACCCCTTAGTACCATCAGCCTGAATAATGCTATGCTCTACCTCCAAAAGTCCCCTATCCCACCATATGTAAATAAAACATAGAAAAGAAAACCAACATCATTTTTGTTTAAATTACATCCTCTGTTTTTTCTTCCTTATGCCCCTATGATTCACCACACTTGGGTTTAAAAGAAGAAGAAAAGAGGGAAAATCATTATTGAAGTGGCTGAATCACAATAAATCTAGGGGAAAAATAGATATTTTTTATTAACCTTGCTAACTTTTCCAGATTAATTTATTACAAAATGTTCTATATCCCCATCAACTTAGCAAAAACATGAGTTGCAGCAGCACCAGTCTTAGTCATTCTTAAAGGGGCTTGGGGTATTTGATGGCATTCTTAACAAGCTTTTTAATGGCAGCATCTGCAAGATCAATGCCACATATATCGGCAAGCCTGATAAGGTACAACAGTACATCAGACAATTCTTCTCCCAGATGTTCCTTATCTGATTCCTTCCAATCTGGTAAGCCCTTGGGCACCTCACCCATCCATTGGAATATTTCTGAGATCTCTCCAACTTCACCAACCTATGAAACAAAAGGCAATATTATCCCAAAATTAAGATGGAAAACAACTTAACAAATATAATCATTATCATGCCAAAAGGCAATATTGTCTGAAAGAAAAATATGCATAAATATGCACACAAATAGTCACCAAAAGTTCCCAAATCATTCTCCATGAATGGGGCTTCACCCTAAAGGCTCCTGCTACAAGGTGAAACAATTTCTTTCTTTTTTGGACATTCTTTGTAATTAGAAACCCGAAAGTTCTAGGGCTTGCTTTGTGGGCCAGGCCCAATAAAAAGTTGCACATGGAGCTGACATGGACTAGAGAAGTGAAGAACATAGCTACGGAGAAGTAGAGAAAAAAGCAGACAATCAGATGCTCCCCATTTCATGGATGGTTTTGTATTAGCCATGCAATCCCTCCAAGTGGATGAAATAAGATGCTCCTAAACAGAAGAAATCTAAGTAACCCACTTAGAAAACCTTTTTCCAGCATGGTTTTACTCTCTCTCTCTCTCCACAAAGAAAAAGGAAGAAAACCCCACATCAGTACAGGACAATCTTTAACATGTGCCATGCAGTAAAATTATGGTACACCCCCTTTACTAGTTTGTATTAGAAACAAAGAAAACTTGCCTCGTGTCACAAGAGGCAGAAATGAAAGGGTTGTCCTTTCACAAGTTTGAATCTTGAACTAGTGGTCTGGTCTGTTGCTAGAAGAGGGGATGAACCAAGCACAAGAGGAACAAAGGCTGACATTTTCAAGTGGAAACACAGAAAACATGCTGGAACTTATGCTACTTCTGGGGCTCTTATTCTTTTACTTTATATCTAAAAACGATTCCTTTTAACCCCATCTCTGTTGCTTCCTGTACTGTCCCCCATCCATGACAGAGTTGTCACAAATAATAATAATAATAATAATAATAAGGAAAATGGGTAGTACATACACAACAACATATAATTTGAAGGTACCAGCTAGCTTGCTGTTGAAATCTAACTGGCTAACTGGTTGCAGTAGAGACCTAGGATCGATCCATCTTTTACCAGGGTTAGGGGAGCTTTAGAGTTTTGGGGAGGGCTACACTCCACTAAGCCCTTGGTCTAGCAGACAATAGGCAATAATAGTAATATTAGCATCAGAGAGTTACCAAAATAATGACACAAATATGTGCAAAGGACCAAGAGATATAAAGCATCTGTTAAAATCAATATTTTCTCCTTTGTTTTGTTTTTCCTTTAAGAGATGCAAAGAGATTATTTTGATACTAGGGTGAACACCATTAAGGAGAATAATATCATCCAACCTGTGTGGCTGTGTGTTTATGTTATATATATATAGAGAGAGAGAGAGATTACTATAAAAGACTGATTAGTGATGACAGGTAAACAAGAAATTAAGAGCAAGCAGCCAATCAATATATTGAGAGCATGAAAAGAGAATCATGAAAGAAGGCACTACAGATCCATCAAGCATTAGAATATTGCAATCCAAGGAGGTAAAAGGATTCACCCTAGCTGGATATCTCAGTGCCCTTAAGCTCTCTGAATCAAGAGTGCAACCATGAGGAAGTGACAGAAAATTACCATTGCAAGAAGAAGGTTTCTAGGACTGTGGTATTGTTCCCAGTCTCTCTCCTTGGCAAACTCTTCAAGCTTTCTTGATAGGTCCTTCAGACCTACATCCATCATCTTCACCTCTTCAATTTCTTCTCGTTCACCTCCTCCCCCCATGCTCATCAGACTACTCTCTCTTTTGAATGAAATGGGAGAGTCCCCCAACTAGCTTTAAAGGCCCAAATTTTCACATATTTTTGAGGAATATATGCATTCGAAGTATATATCAAGTTAAAATTAAGGGAAAAATGGGCGGTGAAAGTGGGGGAAAAGCTTGAGCCCTTGTTTAATGCATAAGATTCTGTCCCCCACATGACAAAATATGGCCACCTTAACTGTCTTTGAATGAAAAGGGGCACAATATTCCAACCAACCTTATCTTTATAATAAATACCAGACCCATCTCTAGGGTTTTCTGTGGCCATATAAGAACCCACTTAAGAAGTTTTCTAAATCAGGGTGTTATGGGTATTTATTACTTTGATCATGCTAGATTTTTTTTCTTTTAAAGCTCAAACAGTTGGGATTCTATGGGTTATGTCTCAATGAGCTTTGGCCTTGTACATCAGATTGGAATCCACTTTACGCCACACCCCACAGTATTGTATTGACATGATTCTCTTTGACACTTATCAAATGAAAAAACTGATGCTACACCGGTCCCACTTTCATAAGCAATTCTACCTTAAAGAGTTTAAAGATAACATATGGTCCTCAAGGTTAGGGCTTTTGCATTTTTAATTGACCAAACTTGCCAACCTGCTCAGGCCATTTGGTTTGTGTTTTAGGCCGGGTTAGCCTTACCCGTTTAAGTTTTGATTGAGAACTGCCTAACTTGATCTAACCCATACCGAGGGGTGCAATTTGGATTGGGTTGGGCATTTGTTAAATTTTGAATGGGCTTGAGCCCTAGTTCAGAATATTGCAATGTATGGATGCATATCATATGATACATACAGGTTTTTCAACTAGCGTAAGCATTATTGTTAAGAATTATAAACTTTTAATACGTTCAAATGTTAATATTTGCCCCAATATATTTATTTGTAAATGTAACATATCATATATTAGAAACTCTGGTTATGCAATTTTTGTGTATCCACAGTATCAATATTTTGAACTATGACCCTAACCCGAGCATGAAAATAATGGAAATCCTTCAAATTGGACAACCCCATGTGCTCCCTTAATTTAATATTCATCATTAATGGACACTATCTTCAGTTCATGGACATTTTCTAAGTTTCCAACGAGTTAAATGAGATAAAGGTACTCCTATGATCTCCTTTACTACTTTACCCAAAAAAATAATAATAATAAAACTCCTTTACTGTTATTATCACTTTCATCCTACTTTAATAAGTGATAAATAATGAATGGTGAATTGGCCTTGTCCCTTTAAGCACCAAATCACATGATCATGGCATTCACTAAATAAAGATATTGGAAAAACAGACAAACAGAGTCTAAGCATGGCGATTAAATTAACAACTTTGTAACTATGAGCAATACCACTTCCTTTCATTCTAATCTATCTATTTATTTATTATAACAGAAGCAAAAAAAAAAAAAACGTTAAGCATTACAACTTTTCTTCTTTTATTCTTTTGAAATAATTCACTTTAAAACATGGTTTTAATTAAACGATTCAGAAACGAAATCGTTATGGCCACCGGTTTTCGGGTTGATGGTTTGACCGTCCAGTTCAAACGGATAATCCGTTCTGATAACAAAAATTGAAAATAATAAAAAATAAAAAAGGCCAAAATCTGCTGAACGAGTCAACGGTTTGACCACTCGAGTCAATGGGTCATTAACCGATTCAACGATTTTTTTTGTCAAGGACCAGGTTTGGGATAAAACGGAACTAGTTAAACGGTTCTCAAACCGAACGGTCCGATCGTCCAAGTCAACGGCAGTTCAAAAACTATGCTTTAAAGTATAATCTAGTATATATTTTCTTGAGATTCATTCTTAATAGAGCCCCAGGTCTTTCTTTCTCTTCCATTATTTTTGGAATCTGATCAGTATTTAAAAAACAATAAATATTCATTCAAAGATGCAGGAATGCCACCTTGACTGGTACATGAATGTGTTGCCGACTTTGATAGCATATATAGCCGGCCTAACCAAAGAAGGAGAAATTTTCATTCAAAGATTCACTGCTGACAGAATGGTGTGGAAATTGAACAAAAGTCCCAAATTCGTAAAGGACATGAGCCTATAGAGACCTCATCCCCATTTGTGGACATCAACATAAGAATCCTAAAAATTTCTCCGTTTCTTAGCTTTGATCTATTCGGCTGTTAGTTATTGGTTGGGCAAGAGACTTCTTTTAGATAAACCTAACAACGCTTAATTACTTGGTAGTCAAAAGGGCTTCACTTATTCTCCTTCTTTTTCTTTTTATTCCCCTTCTTTAACGAAACTTCCATGGCATCAAATAATACTCTAATACATACTAAAAGTATGGTGCTAGAATGAATCAACAGGAGCTAAAGATGAAACGAATATAGAGAAATGTCAAAGCTATGAAAAATTCTGGGTTAGCCATTTCACACTTTGTTGTGGCCGAAAGGAAGGGTAGGAAATTATTTAAGGTGGCATTTAGTAAAGATGAACTCTGAAAAAAGATTTGAGTGCGACTCTGGTGGGGGGTGTTCGGTTCAAGGTTGTGTTTGTGTTTTATGTGGTTCACGAACACAACATTTTGTATATTATTGCTGTTTTTGGAAGTTCATGGTTCCAAAAACTAGCTAGGGGTGCAAGTTTAACCCAACCTAAGGCTGTGTTTAGTTTGAAGGAAAATGTAGGGAAACCTAAATATAGGTTTTCCTACATTTCCCTTCCTTTCCCTACTTTTTCCTTCACATAGCCTAAGCTCTTGAGCCCCCAACTGTACCCCTAATTTAATCAAAAAATTTCAGGTTGGGTTGTGTTGGGTTCAGGTTGGCCCAACTTCTTTACTACCTTTAGCCAAATGTCCTTATTTCTTAGACTTAACAGTTGAGATCAATTCAGTTTTAGCATCATTACATGCACAAAAAAATAGTTATCATGCTTTGAAAAAAATTTTGCTTTAAAACCTTTTTCTAGCTTGCATTTAAACTGAAGATGTTGACATACATATGGATACACAAGTATATATACACATACGTAGGTACACATATCTATACGATTATAAATTTCATACTTGCATGCCTTAGTTTTGGTATAGACCCGTACAGTCGGACCGTTTGACCCGTACAATCATACATAGGTATACATATCTATACTTACTTCATGGTTTTCAAACCACCACTGACCTGTACAGTCGGACTGTTTGGCCCAAGAACTGTCCAGGCAATCGGTTTTGTTTTACCCCAAACCCGGTCACTGGCTAAAAACTATTGAATCGGTTAATGACCCATTGATTTGGGTGATCAAACTGGACCCGTTCGACTTGTTCAACAATTTTTTGCCATTTTTATTTTAATTCTTTTTTTAATTTTTAAATTCTTTGTTAAAATGGGTCATCCATCCGAACCAAACGATCAAACCATTGACCCAAAAACCGGTGGCCAGAACGGTTGTGGTTCCAGGTCATTTTTTAAAACATTGACTTACTTGTATGCATAGCACGCACCTTCACACTTGTAAATATATAATGCATACGTTTATGCATGCATAAATTGCACATATACATGTATATACACATATATACATAAGTACTTACAAACATAAATACATATTTATGCATATAAATATGAAGTTAAGTTAGACCCATGTTGGATTGGATTGACTAAAGCCTCAATCTTAAGCCAATTCATATTCAATTAGTTCCTTGACGATGGTTGTACCGTGTGCTCTTATAGATGATAGATCCGGTATCACTTTCCTCAAAGTTTAGTATATTTTTTGTTTCCACTTTTTTAATCCTTAGTCATTTTTTATGATGAGAGGATTAACTTTTATAGCTTTTATAAGGTTTTTATATCTCCACCTAGGTCACTTTTTTATTAAATTTTAATAAGATTTAATGGTGGCCACCCTTCACCGTGAATGTTTGAGGTTAAAAGAACCCAAACTTCAACTTGAGTAGGGATGGCAATTTTTCCCGTAAAACCAGGCCCCTGATTCGTCTCACCTCAAATGGGGTAGGTTTTTCTTAATCTTAAATGGGGATGAAATGGGAGCAAAGAAAATATTTTTGCTCTGAACTGGGCACGAGGCGGGAATAGGGTTTGTATATAAGTCCCCAAACCCCATGGTAAACTAGTAAAATATCCTTAAGTTTAATATTAATTTCTAAAATACCTCTAAGTTTCCCCCAATTTCTTAAAATTCCTAGGATCCCATAATTCCATTTTTATAATGTCCCCCCAAATTCTATAATCCAATTCCTAAAAATACCCCAAATTCCTATAACCCTCTTTCTAAAGTATTGCTAAATTAGATATATTTTTAGATGGTTGCATCAAAGCGGGAAAATTTTGAGGATTCCCCATCCCCGAGTGAGTGCCTTGCCCCGAATCCACCCTGCCACCAGGGATGAGGTAGGGATGGAGTAGGGTATTTTGGCTACAAGGCGTGAATGGGGAGGGGGTGCCCCATCCCACCCCACTGCCATTCCTAAACCCTACCCAACCCAACACGACCTTTTGGGTTAGGTTTATGCCCAAGTAGTCCTATGGAAGACTAGTAAAATGGCCTTTTCTAACACATTTTTTTTTATATCTTTCTCAACCATATTGTGTCTCTAACACCAATTAGGCTTTATTCAAAAAAAAAAAAAACCATTAACAGAACAACCTATTTTGTATTGTATGATTTAAAAAAAATGTCAATTAAAAATATAATATGGTTATGGCACCAAACCATTCTTTTTTTTTTTTTTTCAGAACCATGAACCAAACCTTTTTGGAACCATGAACAGACAAATTTTGCTTATTTGCTTTTCTGCCCTCTAAATGAAATTGAACCGTAAACTGAATACTAGTCAAAGTGTGAGGTCATCTTTTTAAGAAAAAGTTATGAAACACAACTTAGCTCATTAAGACATGGATGGGCATCAGACATGGACGTTATACCAAAAGGTGCAAACAAATGAGCTGAGAGGCAGTTATAGTGTCCATCAAATGTAAAATAGACACTATATTTACAACTGAAATATTTCAGTTATTTTTTCCACCCTTGTTTCTTTCTCTCATATTACAAGATTTAAAAGGCTAAAGCGTTAAAGGCATAGTTGAGATGTAATGGCCCAAAACGGTGAAGGTAAGCCTCAAAAAGAAAGTTTATAAATGATAAAACAATATAAAATGTTAGAAAAAAAGTTTATAAACAATAAAAAGAACACATGATAAAGCAATACAAAATGTTAGTACAAGTATACACAATAAAAGGAGTCTATAAGCAAGGAGTCTTAAGCTTTTAACGTTTCAACAAAATAATAACCAATTGGATAACAACCATAGACCTTTTATATTTCAAGTTTCAAGATTCAAACTTCTCAAATTATTCAAATGATCATTCATAATGTTTTAGATTACTAAAAAATTCCCTATCATCAAAAGTTTTTCACTAATGGAATCATGTAATGAATTATATATAATTGATACTAAATTTCTAATTGCCTAAGAGTTTAGAAAAAAGGGAAACAACTCAATTGATTAAATCTAAGCAATAAAAAACCCAATAAAAGGAAAAGAGGAGCAACAGGTGAAAATAGGGTAGATGGCATTTTGACTATTTTCTCGAGAAAAATAGCAAACCAAGGACTGGATCCGAAAAGTAAAAAAAAATAAAAGGAAAGAAAAAAAAAATCCCACTTAATTTGACCAATAATGAAGAGAGAACGATGAAGGTTCTTTTTGGACCTTATTGCATTGAATTCTTCTAAAACCTATGAGAAACTAATAACTCTATTTATCCCATTGCCTTTTATTTTACTCTTTTGATTTGGCCCATGATTAGCAAAGGACTCCTCTCATATGTTTGGAACTTAAGAAAAGAAAAGTAGAAGTTTTTTAACTTTATAATCAATGGTTATTGAGGCTCATGTCTTTCTATGCCTTACGCATTAAGGCTAAGGTTTACACCTCTATCTAAAAAATAATTCATAAACCTTAAGTCTATCTTTGGAAATGATGCAAGTGGAGTGTAAATCCCAATTCGGGGTAAATTTGCATTCTGGTTCACTTTTGCCCATGTTTGGCAACATTATATTTATGCATTGAAAAATGACATACCAATACATATTTACATTGATAATAAGATGTAAAAGCACATCAATAAAAAAAGAAGTAAATTTGTATCCAAATGGGCTTTTGATAAAAAAAAAAAATATGCTTTATTGAAAATTCATGTTTGCATCCATTACAGCTAAAAGTCTGTTTGGTAAGAAGATAAATTTATCAGTACAAAACTAACCCAACTTTACAATTTATATAAACCATTTTACATTCTACATATTTATATTCACACTTGTTTGCATTGTTTTCAAATACATCCTAAGGCAAAATATATGCACCTTGCCTCATTCCATATGCTTCACATTTCAAAGCTTGCCTTTTAAAACCATATTACCAACTTTTAGAATGGCAGCATCTGTTATTCTTTGGTGGCTTTGGAGCTTCATGGGGAGGGATGATCATAAAATTGGAACTTATTAGGCCGGCAGGGGGCAAGTGCTTATCAAATTCAGTGATACAAAGTCGTTAATAGGAGTTCAGAACAAATATAATTTGGCAGGGCCGAAAGCCCAATACTCAGGCTGCCCCAAAGTTTTAATTATATCGCGCTCAATTAGAGTTTGGGCCTATAATAAATTTAATAAATTCCTAACCCAATCCAACCCAAATTACAGCCCTTAAATTTGACCAACTTACGAGCAAGCATGTTCTTATAACAAAGTTTATTTCGGAATAGAACACATGATAGGCTCTTGAACATTACCATGGAAACATTAATTACTTCATCTTTTTCATTAAACAAGTTGATGACTTTTAGGGCATCCCACACACTAGTACACCATTGTTGCTGCAATTCTAAATTAGTGACTAACATGTTATTGGTGTAGTAGCAGCGCCATCAAACCCTCTACCATCCAAAGTTCGATACATACATAAGCAGCTAGCACATTGTCATTTGTTGCCAATGATAGAAACATGGTGCAAATAAGGTCCATTAACCTTATCACAAAGGGGGTATTTGTTTTTTTGGATTTTGAGAGGGGGAATGTAAGTCAATGGGATTTTGGTTCCTACTGATCAAGATATCTATGTTCATTTTTTCGAATTTATGTGAGATTCATGAAAAAATTATTTTCCCTACGGATTTGCTCTCACACCTCCATATTATGGGGGAAGCCATTGGCCAAGTAAAGATGACTTGACAATTATTATTATTATTATTATTATTATTATTATTATTATTATTATTATTATTATTATTATTATTATTATTATTATTTGTTTTAAAAACTAAAATCATACATGTTGGTAAAGAACACTAAAATTTGCATAGTGCTCTTTTGAATTTTCAAAACTCTTCCGTGTTTAGCATAAATAAAAACTGCCTTTATTCTAAAGAAAAATATGGAATACATATATACGACCTTAACTGTGATCATTATCAAACAACATAAGGTGTAATGCAGCTGTTAGGGCAATAAAGAACAAAAATGTATTAAAACAATAAAACAAATATATTCTTAAATTTGTTTCCAAACTGAAATGAAAAATGTTTTTGGTTGTATATGTTTTTCCCCCTCCTAGACTGAAATAATGAAAAATGTATTCTTAAAATTGTTGGCTTGAAGTCATGTTTCCATCCAAGGAAAAAATCTATGATGTTGGAAATATACAAAAATATTCATGTTGTATAACACGCTTATATGCATAGATGTCTTAGGTCAAGTCTTGAATCCTCTTCAAGGCTGCATTTGGAAACAATGCAAATGGAGTGTAAATCTCAGTTCAGGGTAAATTTGTACTTTGGTTCACTTTTGCCTGTGTCTTGGCAATATTACATTTATGCATTGACAAATGACAGACCAATGCATATTTATATTGATAATAAGATGTAAAAGCACATCAATAAAAAAGAAGTAAATTTGCATTCAAGTGGGATTTTGATAAAAAAAGAATATGCTTTATTGAAATTCATGTTTGCATCCATTACAACTAAAAGTCTGTTTGGTAAGAAGATAAATTTGTCAGTGCAAAACTAACCCAACTTTACAATTTATATGAACCGTTTTACGCTCTACATATTTGCATTCACACTTATTTGCATCGTTTTCAAACGCAACCCAAATTTCGGGACTTGCTCAACCTGAACCTGTACAAATGAAATGGCTGAACTGAAAAGTTTATTGCTTTGTATTTTAATTAATAAGTTTTTAAGGAGGTTATTGACTCTTTAATGGCTGAAGCTGACGTTGAATAGATCATTATACCCATAAATATTTTATTATTTTATCCATTAGTAAACACAATAATAAGTCTTTCAGCTCAACAACTTCAGTTCTAATTAAACAGCCTTCAATTTGATCAGTTCAGCCCAATGCTCAACCCTATCAAGTACTGTTAACCGGATTGGCTCGAACCGGGTGTACAAGACTCACCTTTGATTCATCAACAATTGAAGTTGAATTAAATATGTATCCATATCAGACACGGATCTAAACTAAACTGAAAATGATCAAACATTATATGTTATTAATAAATAAATCAAAATTATTTTTGACTTTTATGAAGACATAAAACATGAATATAAATATTATCAAATTTAAATTAAAAAACAATCAGAAAATATTGTTGGACCGAATCAGATTGGGGTATATTAGAAGTACAACTTGGGTGGGCCCAATTTAAGCCTGATCTGACCTAGACTGTAATTTCAGGTTAGGTTTAGGCCTAAAACTTTGGGCTTTTTTATTTCTTTTAAATTGTCTGAGATGGGTCGGGGCCTCTAAAGTAGTCCAAACTCAATAGGAGTCCAGTCTGAATTTACACATTTAGGCCCTTTTTGGTTCGTGGGAATAGGGGTTTGGAATTGAAATTGAAATGTTCATTGTTTGGTTGGATGGAATTGGAATTTCATTCCCATTCTTATTGGAATGGTATTCTCCCATTTAAGGGAATGGTTATTCCCTGCCCCTCCATCGGGAATGAAATCTCATTCTTGCTGATTTTAATTCCTATTTCCATTCCCATTTCTATCTGAACCAAACAGACTATGAGAATGGACCATTCTGATTTCAATTCCAGAAAATTTTGATTTTGATTCTAATTCCGATTCTAACGGTGGACCAAACAAATCCTTATATTTATATATATACATACATATTTACATAAATACATATATATATATATACATACGTATATACAAATTTTAAAATATATATACAAATTTTAAAAGTAGGTTCATTCACAACCCAAATCAGAGAGCACCATCCCACTGCATCAAATTTTAATACGAGCGAAGATTGGGTTTAACTATGGGCTCCGTCCAACTTTTGGGCCCAAATCTTGATATTGGGTTGGGTTGACCGTAAACCTGGCCTACCTCCGCTCGACTTGCGCTCCTACTCTCATATCCATGTTCTATCCATTTAATTTGATTCGCCTTTGATCGGACCGGATTCGAATTTACGTAAGGGTTCCACAACCCTATCAGTCAATAATAGTTCGAGTAGGGGTAAAATGGTAAATAAGAACACACACAACTCGTATATATTCGCGGAAGAAACCCTAAAAACCCCCGGAAGGAGTAAAACCTAATTGGAACACTTATCTCCCACACTCCCACCCATCGCCGTCGCCGTTGCCTTAATCGCGACTCCTGAAAAATGGTGAGTGTCTGCAATTCTCGTATCGTCTTATGCATTTTCAGTCATTCTTCTCGAATCGTCAAATTAAGGTTTAACCCTTTTCTTTTCCTCGCTTGTTTGCTGCTTTTCTCTGTAGCCTTTCAAGCGGTACGTGGAGATTGGGAGGGTAGCTCTTGTGAACTATGGCAAAGATTATGGGAAGCTCGTCGTGATCGTCGACGTAATCGATCAGAATCGGGTATGTACTTTGATCCAATTGCCGTCGAATTTTGTTACAGTAAAGAACTGATAGATATGCATCTTCTGTTTAAGTGGTTATATTGTTTCCCATGTGTTTTGAAGATCCCGTAATCTAACAATTTGTGTTGAACTTATCACGACCATTTACTTCTTCAGTAGGTTGACTCGTGATATGTCCTGGTTACCTGTTTCTACAATTTTTAGCTTTGAATTTCTTCTGATGCTTGAGAGAATTGAATCTAACTGTTATCTTTTTAGTGTGTTTGCCTATTTCGGATTACATGGAACAATTTATGACCTATCGATGCGTAGAACGGGCAAACCATTAGGAGGGGGTGTTCTATAATGTGAATTGTTTTACTTGTTGCCGGTTTCAAAAACAAATCAAAATGATCTGTTTTCAAAAAAATGCATTGTTTTTTTAAACAAAACCAACTTGCTTTGCATTACAAAGCAAAAAATGGTTCAAGAAAAATGTTTATTATTGCTAATGTAGTGATTTCAAAAACAAATGTTCATGTTTTAGAATACCCCTAATGTGTCTAAAGTTCATGGCTTCTGAGCTACTAGTTGGATGTCATGATTATTCTGAAATGTCTTGAAGCTATATATCCCAAATGGATTTTTAGAAGTTTCTTGGGATTCAAGTATATTCTTTGGCTTGTCATAACATTTGCATGCAAATATCGATTGTCTGAAAGGGAGTTACCACCTTTTTTCCTCTTCCAAAATGGAAATAATAACATTTTAATAAAATGTAGAAATGAATTCATTTCTTCATGCTTAAATTGGCGTGATCTCTATGGTTTTGGATTATTGAGCGCATCCTTTGGAATTTCAATGAAAAAACAATAAAAAAGATTTTTTGCCCTCTTGTTGCATATGTTCCACTAATTTATTTCCCATGCATCCAGTTATCAAGGGTCATGCCAGAGTTGTGCAATCTGGATTATAGTGGGTTTTTATATATTATTCTCTCCTGCATGTAAATTGCAGAACATCACTTTATCTAAATGTATTATTTCATATGAAACTTCAACAGGCCCTTGTAGATGCTCCTGACATGGTAAGAAGCCAGATGAATTTCAAGAGGCTATCATTGACTGATATAAAGATTGATATCAAGAGGATCCCCAAAAAGAAGAATCTTATTGATGCCATGGAGGCTGCAGGTAAGGACCAATTCATTGTTTTGATGCAATTTTTGTGTTTTTAGATAAGACTGAATTTAATTATATGAATCTCATTCTGGTGTTAGATGTCAAGAACAAGTGGGAGAATAGCTCCTGGGGAAGGAAGTTGATTGTGCAGAAGCGAAGGGCCTCCTTGAATGACTTTGACAGGTTTAAGCTCATGCTCACCAAGATTAAGGTTAGTAAGAAGTTTTCTATTGCGCTCTATGAACTGCTATTTATTTAAATTCACCTTTATGGTATTTTTTATTGTCAAAAATCAAAGTCACCTTGATGGTTAAAATAAGTTCTCCATGGTATGACATTTGTGGATAAAAAACTATAAATAGACCAAAACTTCTGCCAACTTTTCTGGGCCCTGTTTCCCAACTCCGATTATTAGATGTATCAATTCAAGGTTCTTAACATATGGTTCAAAGCATTAACACGAGCCATTGAACACAGACACTCAAGCTATTAATATGTTTCATTTAATACCCCTTTTCTAATCATTAATACACGCTATTTACCATTTAAAAGTTAAAAGATGTTTCTTAACTCAATTCATTAGACAGAGTATCCTCAACTGAAGAAAACACGGTGGCACAATATGTATCGATATATTGAACCTGGTTTTGGTCTGTTCTCTGTGCGCAAGCTAATGGATTGTGTATTCTGCCTTTGCAGAGAGGTGGTTTGATCAGGCAGGAGCTCTCAAAGTTGAAGAAGCAGGTTGCAGCTTAGAATGTTTCAAGTTGTTGAAATCTAAATTTTGAAAAAAAAAAGTTTTTTGCTACTAGTTTTCTTTAAATCGTTTTTATCTTCCATGTATTTTTGCTATCTCGGAGGTACATTTGAAGTTTTTTGCAACTAGTTGAGACTAATATGTGTATCAAAAATTCATGGTTGTGAACGTGGTTTTTAATTTAACAATTGGTCAAGGGCAATTTGATATTTGTTATCAATATATCATCCATTGATTCCGATACAGCATGTACAAATGTGTGCTGCAGCCCATGGATGGGTTCTGCATAGTTTATTGAATGTTTACGTATGCAATCAAGCGTCTGTGAGCTGTCTGCATCTTGGGTTCCTCGTGGTTATAGCTTATGCTGCCACGTGCTGTAGGAATTAGGATTTGTATTGGGTAAAAACATGCATGCCCACTGGGTTTTAATTATATTTTACTTCGACCTATTTTGGATTCGCTTATTTAGTGTATCAACTACACTTCGAACTAGGAATCAAAACATACAAACTGGCTTTAATCTAGTTAGTTGAAAGCCACGGTTCAGTAGATGGAGATGAGTCCAAAAAATAGGGCTGCAAGTTGGCCGGGTTGCCGGTGCCTGAGTTCGTAGAGTGAAAACGGTGCACTTTGGTTCACCAGTTCTGAGAGAGAAATGAGAATGAGAAGAAAAGTGAGAAGAATTTAGGGTTAGGTGGTTTAGGAATTTAGGATTTAAATTATAAAAAAGTTGGGTTGGACTTTTTTGACAAAGCCCGAGTTCTGCCCGAAAACAAATTGAATCAGGCTTTTAGGCCTGAGGTCAAGCCCGCAAGCTAAAACTCATACTCAAGCTCGTCCAGAGGCCAGGTCGGCCCGTCAATGTGGTGAGAGCTATACCATTATCATGCATATAAACAAATCAATATATGATATATCTATCATATATAATATATTTATATATGATATGTATTATAGAATTGGGTTGGATTGCCCAAAAGATTAACCCTAATCTAACCTGAAATAAAGTTGAGTTCATAAATTTTAACCCTAATCCTAACCTGAGCATTAACCCAACCCAACCCAACCGACTTTTTCGGATTAGATTCGGGCCAACGCGGCCCAAATTGCAGCCTTACCAAAAAATGTACTTGAAGCTCAACCCTCATCCAATGCAATGATCAAAGACCATACACGATGGATGTGGGGTACAAGTACCTCGTGGATCTGGATCCGGTTATGGAGTTACCGAAGGCTCGTAGTTGAGTTGCTCACTAGGCATCCCATAATGTGTAATTTTTAATACCAAAAAAATAGAGGTTGATATGAAGCCCCATATATGGATCCGGTTACGGGTTTCTCTCTCTCTCACACACATGCAGTTGACAGACGATTGCTGTTCGTTGGGCTTAAAGGTGCAACTGACTTTGGGCAGGGTCTGACTATTTATAGTTTTGGACAACAGGATAAGCCCTTAAGACGATTCAATATCCATGACCAAGAACCCGTAAATGGGTAGGGCCTTCAGTAGCTAGCTGGTCTGGTGTTATTAATCATCTTGTCAGATCGACTGCAAATCATCAGCCAAAAACACTTGGAAGGGGAGAGAAGTTTGCCACCAAACAATACGGTGTGATTAAAAAAATCCATTATTTCATCCATGTTTCATGTTTCCTGAATTGTATTGTAATCAGAAACGAACACATTTGTTTGAATATACAGATTGGCCAAAAAATTCATATCATCTACCATTCTATTAAATAAATTGTTTGATTCCAGTATCCTAATGAACATAAAATTTCCATGGATCTAGGTTGAGTTCCATGTCTAAATGAAACAATGTCAAGATTTTGAGGCAAACAATTCACATGTGATTATATCATGCATTAATGTAGCTGATCTACCAGCACCTAAAACAGGGACGATGTTGAATATTGGTTCATTACCCATTTCAATCCTCTGACTCATTTTTGCAAATTCAGTTAATATGTCCATGAACATGACTGATAACGTTTCTGCAGGAACACAGAGGTTTGTGGGGAAGTAGAACCTCAAGCTCTGCAAAGAGGACCCAAAATACACCATTAGAGAGGTGACACTGTCAAATAACACAACATGCACAAAATTAACACACTCAACCTTGTAATGCATACAGTATACTAGTTGGTAAAAGTTGAACCACCACAGTTATTGACAATTTTTGGGGGATTTGACATGGATAAGATGAAAACAGATCTAATACTTTTTTGATGATTACAAAAACACGCCAATTATTGAGCTAACAAAAACAGATATTTTCCATTACTGAAATCCCATGCCAAATTTAAATGACATCTAATGAAAATCAAGAATACGACCAATGACTTAAAGACTTGGAGATATTTCCAAGTGTAAGTTGGTCATTGTATCAAACAACACAAAAAGACACAATATCCTATATTCCCATGTGCATATAACACATTACTCTTTCTGCAATATAAAAGGTCATTACCCAATGTTGGTCCCAACTAAAGGTAACAACTGGCTCAGTTGGCAAGTGCTCTGGCTGGTTGGGGGATCCACTACCGACTAACCGACCATTGTGTGGCCCCATGAAACCAACAAAAAAAATGTTGGTCCCAACTACTGAGATATTGGAAGGGATAAACTAGTTATGGTTCTAACCTCTGGCATGTTTTTTCACAAAGTGGCCACTCTCACACTCAAACCTGCATTCTCGCAAATGCCAGCCTGAGATTTTACCACTACGGTTTTCTCATCTATTGGCAAAACCCATCAACACTGAATTGTCAAAGACCCAGAGATATTTCCAACTGTATTTGTATGTTGATGAACCGTCAAATAGCACAGAGATACAATACCCTAGGTGACTAGGTCAACAGAACAACTTAAGCTGAATTGCTATTCTTATGCTCTATAGTGAATTTTCTGCACCAACTTCTCTAGGTCCAACCTTTAACAACTTAGGCATGTCCGTTAAACCCAAAGAATCTCCAGTTATTCCTATGATCCTATAGTTCATTAACATAGAATCAGAGGTTAGCAGGATCGGTTTCTCAAGATTATACTCCGTGAAGGTCAAAGGTATCATTGCTTCCAAGGAAATAGTGGCATAAAAAAATTCCTTGCCCAATTCAAATCAATCATCTATATACAATTTCACCTAATCTCCTGACAAACCAATATGATGGGCAGCCTGATCTTATGGTTTTCAATTCAGAAAGATCTGCAAGGAGTACCATATAATACCTTTTTGATAATGAGTTTGTTTATAAGCTAATACTATACATTGTACAGTACCAATTCACAGCCACTGTGCATGTTGAATCTTAGTTTACAGCTTGTTATTAGTTTCTTTTATTTGTTTTTTCTCTTCTTTATCTTTTATCATTGCTAGAATGCTATTTAGTGCCGTTGTTTTCTTCTCTGTTTTATTGATTGGGCAGTCAGGGGTATAATGGTCATTAACTTTTTTTACCAATATATAATGGTCATTGTGTTCATCATTGATGCTTAATATAAATACAATAGGAGATGACTGTTTCAGTCCATACAGAGATTTTCTGAGTCTGCACACATTTCCTTTTCCAACATTTTCATAAAAGCCTACTGGAATGTCCATATATACCTCCTCCTGTAAATCACCATTGAGGAAGGCATTTTTGACATCAAGCTGGAACAAGGGCCATGTAGAGAACACTGATGTGGACGCCACTGCTGTGGTCCCCACTGTGTTCGTATGACAGCATAACATATGTTTTGTTAGTTATGCCAGTGTTAGTTGGTAGTTATTGGTAGTTATTTCAGTTTGTTGTTACAGCTTGTTATTTCAGCTTTATTATTAGTTTATTTGCCATGTAAGCAACAAGGGCAATTCAGCCCTTTTACAATTAATCAACATATATAAATATTAAGAGTGGGTCGGCAGATCGTTAAGATCAACCCTCTCTCTCTTTTCTAAATCCCTTCGTGTGCTTCTTCTTTTCTCCCTCTCTTCTTCTTCTTTTCTTCTAAAATCTTTCATTTTTTCTTTCGAATTCAAGACTGATTGTAGTCTTGATCGACTACTTGGTATCAGAGCAAGGATTATGGTTTCTCATCCGAGTCTGATCCAGCCAACCACATGAGAGTTGCCTAGGGCTGGAAGATTAAGAAGATCCCTTTTCAGCTGATTCTTGGAGGTTATCAGAGACTGTAGCAGCTGTCCAAAGAGTGGATTGTGTTCTTGATAATCAGGAAGAATCAGAGGAAGATAAAGAGTCCAAGATCAGTTTCTTTATCAAGACTGAAGGTGGCGATGAGAATTTCTGTTCAAAACCTAAACTGGTTGCAGAGAAGGTCTTATGTTAGTCTAATTAGATTGACTACATGAGAATTTCCNTGGAGGCTACTGGTAGTGTGCGGCTACTACTAAGAAGATTGTAGAAGGCTGGGAGAGTTCCAGTAGTCAGGAAGAATTAGAAAAGACTTCGGATCTCCAAGATTAGGGTTCTACATCAGACAAGATGGTGGCGGCCAAAGATTTTCTTTCATGAAGTAAGTTTATTTTTTGCTTGAGAATAACCTTGAAAGGTTCATCTTAGCCTATTTTGAGAGGTGCGGCTGGAAAACCTTTTTTTTCTTTCTAGGGTTTTGAGAGAAAACCCTAAAATTCATAACTGTTGTTGGTTTCAGATCAGATTTTGAACTGGTTTCATACAGAATTCTTTTTTTCCTTATTCTTTGGAAGACCTAGGCCGGCTGTTATCAATTGTTTAGGTGCTTTTTTCTATTACAGTAGCTTCAAAAGTTTGTTTATTGTTAATTCTTGACCAAGAATGGAGTT